CCACCGGTAAGTTGTGCAGAATGTGGCTCATGGCCTGAGACAAGGCTCACGGGATCAAGGTTTGCTCGGATATGCCGGGGGACCGTGAGGAGCAGCAGCAGCAGCCCCAGCGCAGGCTTTCCCTGCTGCGCGAGGAGAGCGGTGCCTGCGCTGAACATCCCCTGAACGGCTCCCAGGTCTCACCTGAGAGAAAACCGGCCGCTTTACGCCAGAAGGAGCCTGAGAGCCAACCAATACACGTACAGCGTGGATGGCTGGGGAACCCAGGGGTGAAACTGGGGAGGCAGGCCATTTAACAGCATAGGCACACTCATTACGTTCCCAAATGTAGCCAAAGCACAGGAGTTTTTCCTTGTAATTGCTCTGTGCAGGCACATGGGAGTACAACCAGGGATGCCCCGCCAACGACACCTTTCATTAACAGTGGTTATTCACAGAACCCTTGCCCAAGACAGACAGCACAGTCGATGCGTGTCAGGGGCAGCATGTTCACAGTCTTCTCCTCTGCTCCCAAACTCTCCCTGAATACCTCCATCTTTTTACCAGGAACTCTTCCTCTTTGCAGCTCTTCCACTGTTGGAGTCAAACCGAATGAACTGTGCTGCCAACAAGCTGAACCTGAGGCTGTAGTCTATGAAGGTGAATAGTCTTCGAAGTTTCTACTTAGATGGTGCACTGACATTTTAGCCCATCTCATGATGCATGAGCTACAAAAAACAGAGCTTATGTCACATTTCTATTGAATGATTTACCCATTCTAACGTTGTTTAAAAACAACCTTTAAGCGACTTTACTTTCAAAATTCATAGCCGTTGTCCAGCTAGCGGTCATTTTGATTAAATCTGGCTAAGAGTTAGGGGAAGGTTGGACACCATACAGCCTGAGCGTTCAAGTCCCCCTTCAAAGAAACGCCGTTGATTTCACTCGAATGTCAAGACATTTTTCAGGACCAATGCAGACACTTACTTGCATATTCGTTTTAAGTCACGGCTACAGTCCTATTAAATTTGATGGTACTAGTCACTTCAGTAAGCGTTGCAAATGTAGGTCCCTAGGCTGTGAAGCAAAAGTAATTGGATTTGTATGACAGACTTACAAAAGAGCCAAGCTAAAATATTCTATCACATTACAGTCATATCAGCGGTGAAACTTTAACAGTGTGTTTTTACAGCAGTAATAACTTTCCTGAAAGGGGAGGTAGCATCTGAAGCAGAAAATTTAAGTCCTTTTTAATAACAATATGTAAACCAATTTATGTCATAGATAAGATTGACCATAAAAACATACGGAAGTTTGCAGTTTTCTGAAACAAGGTGAAAAACCACGGCTACTCTCTAACCATCTGAGGGTTGCATCGCTAATGCAAGTGAGCTACAAGATTTTAATCTGCTTGGACACAAGTTAGCTCGTCAGCTAAAAATACCACCCACTGACTGTTTACTTACGGGCTGAGATCTCCCAAAAATAGCAAGGGGAAACCTCAGACTTCCGCACCTCAGGTCACGGCGGATGAGGTGCTTCGCGTGGGATGGCTAAGGGAAAGCAATTGGCTGACCAGACTGCGTTCGCTGTGATAAAGTAGTATGTAATATTCCTACAACGCCCAGGCTGCCCCATGCTCTTTCTACCGTGCGAGCGCACGTTTTGAGTTGGTTTTGATCTTGCTCTTGGTGAAACAATTACCTCTACGGTTCCAGCAACTGCTCCTAAAGGAGGAGACTGGCCCTGTGGAGTGCTAAACCTCCTCCTGCTTCCTTTGAACTTCAAAATGAAGAAGTGTTAGAACCCACTGAAGATACATGAGGTCGTGCACTAACCACACAGTTGCGAAAAATTCCTTCTAAAATTTTACGAAGGCCAAGATAGGATTTGGGCATTAAATAACCAACAGACCAAGGAAGTCTTCATTAGAGCTGAACCACTGAAGTCAAAGAAGCACCAGAAATGCAAAAGAGACTGGTTAAAACAGTACAAAGCTCTTTCTTGTAATAATAGGTTTAGGGTATAGGATATAGGAAGAAGATGTATAAACACTGCCTTTGAAAAATTCATTACAACACTTTCTGCCCCTTCGAAGTAATCCCCTTACAGGTTTCTGAAGCAACGTACTAATAATCTTCACACGAGTGGCTTCCAGGTCTCAAAGAAGAAAACAAAAGTTTCATTCCTTCACCGAGGCTTCAGAGATACAGTAATTGCAACCCAAATTCCAGAGACTGGGGAATTTGCCATCAGCATCGCTGGCAGGGTACTATTCCAGGGCGTACTGCCCCACGACTTCGTTAAAATTCTTTCAGAAGAAGGAAGACTCCCAATTTCTCTCGCTACCAAAGAAAACCCACGCTTTCGTAGCATTTCTTTGCTAGCAAAGAAATCCAGGGCTTCTAAAGCCCACGTTCCTATCAGAGCAGGAAACAAGCTCGAGCTTTCAGTCTGACGACAGACTTGGAAAACGTGTACCTTTCACCTTAGTCGTTCAAAAAAAAAATTAGAAATGCTGTTTCAGCAGCCTGTTTCCTTCTAGCTGCCCTGGAGAGCAATTTATTAGCTGTCACAGCTTAATGGAGTCATAACATAATTTCCTTACCAATTCCAAAGGTAAATACAGCTTTATTTCCTAAATATTCTATTTATTTATAATAGGTATGTCCACAGCGACTAGCAGCTCAGCTCCTGGACATAATTTACATTAGGAGCCGCAACTGTGTCTCAGGACACGGTAAGGAAAATCTTGATTATTTCTGGTCTTAATCTGAACAGCGATCAGAAGAGAAAGAAAATATGGGTGTTTTCTCTGTGCAAAACCTAAAATCATATTTTTTTACTTCAATTTTTTCCGCTATCCGGTACTAGTATATTCCATCCCTACGCATTTCCCAAAGGACAGAGCAGCTCCAAACGTCCTACACCTGAAACATACTCTGCCAAAAAGGGAGTACTTTTTATTAAATCAAAATGTAAAAGTAATGTGAATGACGGGGGGGGAAGTCAGATTCACAATGGAATTCTCTTTCTTTTCTTCAGTAAAGCACATACTACCCATCATTTTTCTGTCTTTACGTTATTTAGTGATACTGAGATGGTACTTTTCACCACAAAATAGAAAAAATTTGAAAAACCTAATTTTAATAGAGTATTGTGTACAAGCAAATAATATTTTAGTTCTAAAATTTGTTTACTAAAATATTAACTGAGTGATCTGAATAAAAAAACATTAATAAAATCCACAGATAATGTCCAAATTTACCTACTTATTTCGCTAACATCTGCTCTCTTTGGTATGAATTATTCAATTGCTATCCCATTCCCCCAGCATTCACATTAATTTAATGAGCAAGCCAAGCAATAACAAGCCCTGAAAACTAAGCATAACTCTGAAAACACGGACTATATTTCTTTATTTTGGAGAAACATGTACCAACGTATTGTAAATGGGGCCAGGATTATTTCTTTAAGAAGAGTAAAAAGGTTGTTAGAAATTTTGACCTGTAATTTCTTTTTTTAAGTTATTGCTGTTATTATCATATGAATGAGAGTGTGTCCTGGAAGAGAGCTCTTGCTCTAGGTATGACAGAAGCCCCAGACTCTAAAAAATGTCCCCATGCTACAGGGCTTAAACATAACACACTGAATATGAAAAAAAAATGATGTTCGCAAGAAACTTCTTTAGGTGACTGAAAAATGCTTTGCAATTCAATTTTGAAATCCACTCAAACACTACTGCATTCATCTTCGCAAGCTGCTGCCTGAAAAACATAGTTAGTCTCTACCAGCTTCGCTTTTCTTATTCATTCAAGCACACCTCACTTTAAAAACTTCCAAGCAACGTCTTCACGTGCAAGCTAAGGATACCATTTTTTATACATAGCTTTCAACTTCTTCCTTGGCTCTGCCAAGGATGCCAGTCCGCACCGTCCTTCAGACAAATGTTTGCAACGAGAAATTTGGAACTTTCTTTCAAACTAAACACTTGTGAAGACGCCAGAAAAGAGGTCTTCAAAACAGCTTTAAAAAAGCCAAAACTCAAAACCTGACAGCTGGCGCGCCGTGGAATTTATTCGTCACAGTCATCTCGCCGCCGTCCTCTGCTCATCTGTCAATTTGCTGTAGTACCTATTGCTCTTCAACCCCTGTTTGCAACGCAGGTTCTCTGGAGAAAGGCGTATCTTCCATTAAAATGGGGAACGCCCGTTACACGGGCATGCCTCGTTACGATTAATAAATGGATGCAATAAAGAAAGAGCAATGGCTAACGGAGCAAAAAACCGCGAGCGCTGGCATAGTCTCGCTTCTCCGGACAAATACAAGAATGAGACGCTCTCGGTATGGGAAAGAAAAGGGGATAACGGGTGGGCCTCAGCTTTCCAAGCCTCCTGTTCAGACGGGGAGTTCAATCTCACTCTGTCACGCAATACAAAACCAAGCGGACTGGGAGGGAGGTGGGTTTCGCTGAAGACCGATGCCTCGGGACATCTAAACTGTAGCTTTCGACAAAGAAACCAGCCAGAATTACCGAGAACCTTCAACTTGATGTCCAGGCATATTTTATCACACTATTTACCTGCATCCAAAGAATACTACGTAACAACTTGCTCAGCTAGAACTTTTTTTTGCGTAACGGGAGTATTTTGAAGAATACAACTATATTTAGCGCTCGCTGTTTCAATTAGAACTGGAACTTCGCAATAGCGGGTCCATTAGTGTTAGACGACCAAAGCATTCCTTAAGTTTTGATTATAGGTACTTCGCTAACATATGTCCGTACCTGCGGGACACTGGCAAGAAAGAGGAGCCCAAAAGGGCTTACACAAAGCTTTACTAAAAGCAGCACAATTTCATAGACATTTTCAGCCTCCTGTAGAAAGATACCGCTGAAGAAGACGACTGAAAACACAGTTTGAGGTGAATCTGCATGAAGTAATCTAGCCTGAAAAAAATAGGTTTCGAGGGGGGTTTCTTGCAACCCGCTCTTGCAAACTTCTGCCCTTCAAACATCTTACCTGATTACATGTGTTAATGTCTATTCCACTTTTCAGGTATTCCACTACTTTGTCCAGATTGCCAGCTCTGGCAGCTCGGAGGAAGCTTGCGTTGCTGTCAGACTGTAAAAAGATAAGAAGACAAAAAAAAAAATCTCTAGTTAACTCCTGCTTAAAGGAGAGCACAACTTCATCACCAGTGAAAGGTTTCCACGTTTTACGCTGCAGGAGAATAAAATTGTGAAGAAAACTGACTTTGCATTATTAGCATACACATACTTAAACAAGGCAATACTGGCAGAAAAGAACCACAGACCTCGCAGAGTGAGCAAAATAGTGCAATAATTGCTGAAGTTCAATATTTAGCAAAAAACAAAGAAAAAAACCCCAAGAAATCATAGTAACTGATATTAGCAACAAGAAAAAAATATATGTATCAACTTGCTAGCCATAGTTTTCTGGGTTTTTAGAGAGAGAGAGAGAGAGAGAGAGATACACACATGCACACAAAAGAAGCTCTGGAAAATAATTGACCAATCCTGTTATTGGCTATGCTACTTACGAGAACATACATCGGCTTTGGATTTGTGCTTGGCATAAAAAGTTACATGACTACAGTTCATATTCACGCACACACACTGGCTTAACGCAGAGCTGCACGCTGGAGAAAAAACAATATCCAAGAGCGAAAAAGTCCTATGGCTACATTTTACCGCCTGGGACACAGAAATGGGGCATGCTGAAGGGGAAAAGAAAAAAGCCCCACGAAACCGGGCAAGTGTAGCTAACCGTAGAACAAAGCGGATGAAGTACTCAAGCCTGAGTATCTAAATCCAGGATAATGTTGTAAACATGCTCACTCCTAAGCTGCCCGCATTCATACATTCGCACTTAAAGCCTCGTTAGCATTTATAGGCTAAAAAAAAAAAAATAAAAATAAACTCACGTTTTCATTTTTCGGTTAGGTTGTGGGATGTGCTGTTAAGCAAGGGAGCGTGAAATGCGTCAGCCCTCTTGCCTTTATCTACGATTACGGCACAAAATTACATTGGCTATTTGAAACCAGCACATCCTTTGGTGATGTTCACCCACACGGGAACCCCCCCACAGGTAAACTGGCTCCTAACGCAACCGCAGATACCAGGAGAAAAAAAGAGAATTGTGCCACAGAAGTAATGATTAACCAGAATAAGCATTTGGGAACACGCACAGACGCAGGAACAATTTTCAGACTCAAATACATAGAGTAGGAGTGAGTTTCAAAAAGCAGGTAAATAACTGTGAAAGGCTGTTTTGTGGGGATGCGATTAGAGAGGTGCAGGAGGGCACGCACGCCACTGGACTAGTGCCTGGCGTGCCCCCGAAACACCTCCGATCGAGCATGTTTCTCATCTAATCTCAGCCCCCTGCCAGAAACACGGGGTGAAAACCATTCTTTCACATCACGAGAATATCCTAAAAGCCTCCCGCTTTCAGCTTATTAATACTGATCGACAAAGCAATTTATTTCAGTCACCCAATCCATTTCAATGCATTTATTTCGGTCACCCTACTTATCACGCCGTACTAACTCACTTCACAATCCCCAGTTCCAACCTATTTTAATCTGCAACAGATGGATGTCATAAAAATGATTCTTTTTACAACTGTGCTACATGCCAAGACAAAAATATTTCCTTTTAAATTCCTTTCAGCAAACTTCAGCACATTTTCCACATCTTTTGCCGTTAAGAAAACAGACCATCTTTCTAAACACACAGCAGGGCGAAGGGGAAGGTAGCGCAGGAATTCACGTTGACAGAACCCTTTTATAGCTTCAGGCTTCGGTCAGGCAAGCCTTTGGACGAGGCTCGACGGAGGAGCAGATTCTGACAGGTACTTCAGAGAGACCCCTTTTAAGGTGGAAGGGCGGCTGTTAGCACTGCACCGTCTCCTGTGACGTGCATGTGCGCATAAAGACACAAAATTGTATCTCAACGTTTAAACGTCCTTGAAAAATCAACTGTCTTGGTAAAAACATGAACCGAGAACAAGTATTTGAGCACACGAGGGGTCAATCTGGACACTCTTGAAACTAATGGGAAAAGCATCTTTGCCCTCAATAGGACACACGTTTTACCTTCTTTTTCCCCAGGTTTTTTCATGCTTTCCCACTTCCACAATAATTTGCCATGCCCAAACTGCAGTCATCTGGTTTTATACTTTTAAAAGGTTAAGCGAGAAGGACGCAACAAACAAACATCTACAACTTCTGTTTTATTAGGGACGAATCAATCATCGCTTGCTGTTCTTTCGCGCAGAGTAACATGAAAGGCTAAAAATGTTAAAGCCTCAATCATCGCTGGAAGCTCAGATTGTAGCTGAGACCATACGACTACATTCCATTTGTTTGTGGCTAACAAGACGCAAGCAGCGCTTTCAAAATAGATTCTCGCTTCCTCGGTTCATACTTTTGTTACCTCAAAATTAAATTACTGCAATGCACATCACTTCAAGACACATCACGTACACCTGAATAGCGATCACAACGCAGAATATGAACTTCTTGTCTACGTGAGGAGTTATTAGGAATTAACTCTTCATGATTAACTCCCCATGCAGGCACTTTATTCCAGAAGCGTCTCTTGCTGTGTCTGTTCTCACTCTGAAATAAAGAGTGCTTGACTGTGAATAGAAGAGGAACAAAACAGCTAAAATCCCAGTGAAACGCAACGAGATCTTGATGCTTCATTTAGGTGCCTTTGAAAATCCTAGCCTACAGAATCTTTGGGTTTGTGTGAATCTTCTCACTGTAACACGCACTGATCTCAGATGAATACGATCGTACCCATCTCTTCACAGTCTGGCCTCTACTATTTCAAAATAGTTTCTCACAGACTTGCATGATGTTCTCAACTTGAACACACAAATAAAAGACACGAAGCAGCAATTCAGCTGCTTCATATACAAATTCACGTACAAATAGCAGCGGGCGCTTCCATGAAATACTCAAAAGATTCAACGCTGTATTTTAAAGCTTAGAAGTTAGGAGTACTCAGATCGGTATTTTCTTTCCTGGTTTGTCAACTCTAATTTTTCGGTAGGTCATCAGTAGTTTGTCCCTTTCCCCATTCTTTTAAGGTCTTTAAAAAGCATTTTTATCAGTACTACTTTCTCAGCAATTTACTCGCCTTAGCACGTTACGACTTCAAATCCGTTTTGACAAAATGGCCTCAGTAGTCAACAGCAGCAGGTTTCTGTAGTCTTACCGTGCTAGGAAACTCGTGATTTTTCATCTGTGGGCTTTTCCAATTGATTCAGTAATCTCGTGAAATATTTTGTTTCCTTACATGTAGATTTTTAGTTGAATTCATGAGGCATTTCAGTGGCACAGAAGCTGGCATATTGGTCTTTACTAGTTTGTCGACTGGTGAAGACAAACTTGTCAACAAACTGTCATTTGAAGACACTTTCTTTACAAGAAAGAAGATAAAAACATGGAGCCAGAGTCCTTCGCACCATATGATACTCACCACGTCATCCCTTCCTATGCACACGCCCCTGAGATTTTGCTGTAGGAGTCTTACACACGTACGCAGATCACGCTCAAAAGCAAGCACTCTACCAATAAGGAAAAGAAAGGTTTACCAGGGAAGAGTATGCCTTAAGCAGCTGCCGGCAACCACGTGAACACGAGAGGCTTGCAATCTGGGAAACTCCAGCGTTGACATGTGAATTTGCGAAGTCTCAGCTGGCCTCTCGACACGCCACCCACAGTTCAGGTCAGTCAGAATTAGGGATCGCTTCGTCTACACGTGGCCACTAAGGCTGGGCAATCCACTCAAGACGTTATTAACACGCTGCTAGAATAAGGTGCGAAGGATTGAAGAATACGTAGCTGATATTCGACAGCATGGGACAAATTCACCATCTGTGGACTTACCAAGCTTTTTCTAACGTACTACTTTCAGACATCCAAACTGTCCTACGGAAAATGCACCACTAACTAGTTAACATGAACATCGGTCCGCTCCACAGAGAATTTTTCTTTTCACTACAATCGTGATTGAATCTGGACTATTGACTTGCAGTTCTACAGATAGCAAATATTGATCAAAGAGAAGGACAACAGTCACTTCAAAAAAAAAGAAACAACTTCCAAGACATATGCAGTGAGAGAGTACTACGAGTCTTTGATAACTACTTCTTTTACAAAACTCTGCAATGCAATTCTAATACATGCTATAGATTTGTGAGGAATATTTGGTGTTATTGCACCTTATAAAAAGCTCCTATCTTTTAACTTAACTTTTTTTTGTTTAACTTTTGACCGAGGATAAATAATTTCAGCCAGAAATGGGCACTATAAATAAACTACAACGTGAAAAAAATCACTATAACCTTAAGTACGCTCACAGCAGAATGCAAACGTGTTCCTTACACGTACCTAGTCGTCAGACACCGCGTAAGAAAATATAAGAAGTGATCAAGTGAATATATGATTATTTTTTAAAATGACTGAGAGGCTGCGGATTCAACTTCTTTCCTGCTAAATGCAACGCCAGAATTTTGCCTGAATTTGAAACACGTAGCTCAGGGAATCTCAGTAATTAAAATCATATATGGAAAGTAGTATTGTATTCAAATAGTCGGAGACCTTCCCTTCTGGTTCCTCTGTCCTCGCTCTGGTGGTCTTTCCTGTCTCACAGCACGCCACGTCACTCACCGCACACAGCACGTGCCTGTTTCTCAAAGGCATTTTATAGAGATGTGCCAAAATAAATCGCGATGCGTAGTGTTGAAATCATATGCTGTACCAAACTCATAGGAATTTCTCCACATATTCAAATTTGCTGCTGAAAACCAGATTCATGCTTAAGAAGGAAAGACTGGGGGAGTAGGAGGCTTCAGTTTTCAAAAGAAGGCTTTCATAATAACATTATCCAAACCGTCCAAATACTTGTTTGAAATCATGTCTATAGTAAAATTATTCCTGCAGGTTGGCCTTTTTTGTTTTTTTTTGCTCCCCTCCAAATAAGGTGAATGACCCCAGCCTGTCCACAACCACAAACATCTCCGTGGGAGAACGGAGCCTAGCAACAAGGCCTCCTGAACAATTCTCATCTGTTAAATACAGTTTATTA